TTCACTTTAACTCTACTAGTTTATTGTTACATAACTTCCAAACTTGAAACCACAACATTCTCATAGCCTGTTAACTGTGAGAAATTAATTTCCATTCTATCTTTGCAATCATCGAATTATCATTGAATTAAAACCTGTTCTCTCTCAGCTTCATGTTGGCTTAGTTTGCTCATTGGCTGCAGACTTTTTAGTTTCTCCAGAAAGAGAGAACAGAGTCCGTGGTGTGTGGCTCCCCATCCTTCCCTCCGGGGTCAGCGCGAGCCCGTGTCTCTGCTGCCCTGCTGTGTGCTCACGTGCCCCGGTGTGCCTGTTTCTGGGGGGTGTTTCTGAGCATGTCACTCTGTGTCTTTGTCTCTCCGCCTGCCTGCGAGTCTCCCGACTCTGCTTGTCTTTCTGTGTGCACACACATCTTCCAGATTGCTCCTTCCCTTCCTTTCGCCTGTCAGTCATCCCCCATGCCACCGGGCCCCAGTGGGGTACTGCATACTCTCTTCCCTTCCTGCAGTGACAATTGCTTTCTGCCATCCATCAGATGGCATGTCTTTACCTCTCAGCGGTGAGGACCCGCCTTCCTGGGGGCGACAAGCTCTCTCCTTTCTCTCCATAGCGTTTGTCCTCACATGCACTGGGTCCCGTCGTCCCCTCTTACTCCTGGCGTTCCGGGATGTGCCCGCGCACTTAGCTGCGCATGCTCCGCTCTGCACCTCTAGCGCGTCTCGAAAGCCACGGGGGATGGCAGCAGCAGAGCAAGGAGACCAACAAGGAGTCAGACAGCCCTGGGCTGGACCCTCCCTCCGCCTCTCTGCTGAGTGATGCAGACGCTCCTTGCACGTCTCCACCGGGTTCCTGGTCGGTAACGCGGGTGATCGCGGCACCTGCTTCCGAGGTTACGGGAGGAGGAAGGAGCTGATGTCCGAGACGTGCCCCGCATGCCGAATGCACTTGCGTCGTGTTAGCTGCTGCCATCCTTCGAGTGGCCCCAGTGGCGCTGTTTCGGGCTGTCTGTTTCCCACGAAGCCTCGCTTCCGCACCCCACATTAACGCCCCCTCTCTTGCAGCGAAGGCGACGTCAGGCAGCTCTGGCTGCAGCTGAAGAGAGACAAGCCTCACTTACTGTCCAGCTTTGAAGATTTCCTGACTGCAGTCTTCTCCCAGCTCCAAGAAGCCCACGAGGAGAAGAATGAATTGGAGTGCGCCCTAAAAAAGTGGGTACCCAGTGTCAGCGGCTCTCTGTACCTGTCTCCGTGTGAGAACGGAACCACAGAGTGCGCTTCCCCTGCGCCCGCTCCTCGCCGCGCTCCGCCAGGCGGCGCCACCCCGCGCCACCCCGCCGCGCGGTTCTGTTTCTCAGCCCTCGCGCTGCACGCACACTCGCCGCATGCCAGGCGCTATTCCAAGTACTCGATATACACTAGCTCGGTTAATGCCCACCACACGCCTCTGGGGCAGGGACTGTTGATCATGGTGCGCACTTTGCAGATGAGGGACTCGAGACACGGAAGGGCGAAGTGGCAGGCCCCGGAAGCCACGGCTTGTAAGCAGCAGAGCCAGGACGCAGAGCGAGACAGCCTGTGCCCGCGCTGGGAGGAAAACCGCTCTGCCCGCCTCTGGGCAGTGAGGCCCCCGCACAGTGGGCCTCCCCCAGCTCCCGTTGGCCCCCTTTGCGGAGGCGTGTTTTTGTGAGATGGGGGCACAGCCCCACTGACTCTCCCCTGCTCTCCCCTCCCGGCCGCTCTCTCCCAGCATGGCCTCGCATCTCTGCTGCTGCCCGCTTTGCCTCCGAGGCCTCTGCAGGAGACAGGACCAGACCAGTTAGACAGCAGCACCTGAGGAAACTGCTGAAGACCTGAACCCCAAGTCAGCACAGAAAGGTGTATCGTAGAAGTGGGGCGAGCCCAGTAGACACCGGTCCCTTGATGGGAATTAGTGTGTGATTGCGGGCACTGTGCCGTTCATAGTCCTTTAACATGTAGTTACGGCAATGGGCTTGCATTTTGTGAAACGTGGAATTGGAGGGGGCGTAACCAGGGGTGGCTCATAACCCTGACGGTGAGGCCAAAACACAGGGCGGGTTTGGGAGGGGCTTGAAAGCAACCAAGGGGCCCTCCGCTGTGCCTCCGCCGTGCACTCTTGTCCACGCCTGGAGATTTGCTCATACTCTGTAGGAATCCTCAGTAATTCCGTGGCTACGTGATTCCACAGACCACCTGTCCCTCGGTCCAGGTGCTTCCATCAAAGCTTGGTGGTGCCCAGCCCCGCCTCCCAGATGGTGGTGTTTCAGGGTCGGTGCTGAAACGGTCCTAGAGAAAGCACACAGCCCCTAACTGAAAAAGAAGAGACCACCATGCGTCCTGCTGTATAGATCATCTGCCTACGCATTACTCTGAGCCCCAGCTCCTTGTCATCTTGTGCCTCCCCAGCATCAGTTCCAAAAGTAGCTTGTCAAAGTCCATTGGTTATATACAGGTCTGGAAAAAAAGGTCCTTTAGGACTCTGTGTTAGGAAGGAGTTGAGGCCAAGTATTGCTGGAGCAAACATGGTTTAGCGGGATTTTTAAGAACATTCTGGGTCTGGGGAGAGGTTCCCAAGGCTCAGAGAAGGGAAGGCTTGAGAGCTATACTGCTAGGTCGCCTTTAGCTGATTATTAGGCCATGGAATCAGACAGAACTGAGTTTGAATCTTGATTCTGCCACTTACTAGCTGTGCAACTAAGGCCACGTTACTTAACCTGAATCTCCGCTTCCTCACCTGTAAGACAGGGGTGGTAATAGTATCCATCTCAAAGAGTTGCAGGGATTAATGTGATAATGCATGCAAGTACTCGGAACAGCGCTGGCACACAAGTATTCAAGGAATGTCATAATAATAATTATCCTTTTAAATAGGTATCTTTGTAAGTCTTAGAGGATTTGTCAGCTGAAGGGGTCTGAGCCTTGATATCATCAGAGGTGAAGATTAAGGATCCCTTTGTCCTTGCAGACCACGTGGTGTAGAGGCTTGCTCCTCAAAGTGTAGTCCGTGGACCGGCAGCATCAGCATCGCCTGGAAATGTCTTAGGAATGCAGCATCTCAGGCCTCGCCCCAGCCCCACTGAATCTGCACTGTGACAAGATATCCAGGTGCTTAATGTGTAGTTTGAGAAGTGGGGGCTGAGAATCAGGAGATCTGGGTTAGAGGCAGGTGTGGCTTTGCAACTAGCTAGCTCTGTGAGCTTGCTCAAGTCTCTTGGCCTCTCTGAGCCTCAGTTTTCCCAACTGTAAAATGAAGGGGCTGGATTAGTTTCTGAACGCACTTCACCTCCATTCCCCTCTTACCCCAGCATTAATCACCTGGAGGAGCCACAGCAAAAGTCAGGTGGCCCCTCTCAGAGAGAAAGGTGCTCTTCTCCAAGGAGGATAACTGCGGCCTGCATGGGCGGGCAATTAACCAGCCACGGCCTGGGTCCCATCTGCGGGACCTCCCCTGCTGGCCTGCACTCCTGTGGGGAGAGACACGTGCCCCTGACTTGCTGGAGAGCCTCTGAGCCCTGCCATCCATCTCTAAGTGGCCTCTGTTAGTGCTTTGCCCTAATTCAGTGATTGCTTTAAAAGTTGTTTAGAGGAAAGTCAAGGCCACGCTTGGCTGCATGTGCAAAACTAGCTCAGCCAGAACTTCCCGCCCTTCATGCCCATGCTCAGTCAGTGTCCCTGCCAGATGCACCTGCCCTGGTCAGCTGACCAAGGCCCACTGGCTGGGGAGCTCTGGCGGGATTGGGCCTCACTGAGTTCTCTGGCCAGTCCCATTTCAGGGGTGTTCTCTGGACGCAGAACCAGAGAACTGCCGGCTGTAGTGAGCAGAGTACTGAAAGAGGAGACAGCAATAACTGGAGCTCTTGCCCAGGTACCTCTGTTTACCAGCTGTGTGACCCCAGGCAACTTGCCTTACCTCTCTGAGCATCGGTTTCCTTATTGGTAACATGAAAGAATGGGAGTGGTGTTTTTCAAACTTTTGTGATTGCGACTCACCAAAAGAAATGCCTTTTCCTTTGCAATCCCCATACACTTACACGTGTGTATAACTGAATCAAAACCTTCATGAAATGATGTTCACCCTTATTACATATGACATTCTCTGATATTTTCTACTAGAGTCTCTTTTATTCTCTTCTCAAGGTTGTTCACACCTTGCCGGTGGACCTCTCTATAAGGTCACTTGCAGCTCAGAAGTCAAACAAGAAACTGGAAGTCTCAGTAGGGTATGGAATATTTAAATAGGATTCTTTGCAAATGACTCAGGGTGAGGTTAAGTGATTCTGAGACATCGTCTAGAAAGTGGGATTGGAGGTCAGAGCTGTGTAGGGGGACGGATGCATATCCTGGTTTTGGAGAGGAAAGTGGGAAGAAGCTCTTGGGAATGGCCTGATTTAGGATGGAGTCTGGAGGAACCCCGAGGAGAACAGCAAGTACTGGTGAGCTGTCAGAATATCCGTAAGGCCCCTCCACGAGCTCACTTTTCAGTATGGTGGACGACATTCCGACTCCATCTGGGACATGAGCGCCTGTCCCTGTAGCTGGATTTGGGAGCTCAGGTCCTAACTGCTGCATGTCCAGCCCTGGGCCCGGCACCAGGGGAATACAATCTGCGCATACCCATCGCTAGCACGCAGTGAGTGCATCCTCTGTGCCAGGCTCTGAGTTAAAAAAAATAGAGCACAGAGTCCCTATCCTTGAGGAGTTCGTGATCACACTGATGAGGCAGAGCTTCTACCCATGGAAATTCTGCACAAAGTAGACCAGAAAATTCCCATGCTGCTCAAATGTTAGACGGCATTGCCATTGGTGGCAGCAGCCTCTGCTTCTTCCTTCTTTTGCAAACCACATGCCTTGTTTCTTTTTCCCACATGGCCCAGAGAAAACGAGACTGACCTCTAGAGGAGTCTGGCCTTAACCAGGTTGGGCAGGACGCGCTCCCTGCCTGCAGCCTCCCAGGCTGGACCATGCCCCTCAGGGTCCCAGCGTTGCTGCGATGAGTGGCAAAGGCCCCCCCTCCCAGCTTTCTCCTCACATTCACCCCCAGGTCCGGGGAGGGAAGAGGGTGCAGCTGAGGTGGCTGAGTGCTGGGGAAGGTCTTTCTAGCTGATGTCAGGAGACGTCAGTGTGACCTGGGGCATTGTGGGAAATCACCCAGAGCCCTCCTTACCTCGTGGCCACGTGAATTTTTTTTTTAACCTGCATTATTGGACATAGGGAAAGGAAACAAGTCTGGGTCTATTCAATCTCCCGCCTCCTTGTCCTTTTGCTCAGAGGTTGAGGAAATCTCAGATCTGGGTCAGAATCCTGGGAACAGTGTTTGATTCCGACATGTGTCCACTGGGAAGTAGCCACCGGGCAAGGTCAGGACAAAGTCAAACACAGGAACTTCCGCTAAAGCCCACTTCCTCTGTCGAACTTCCAGAGTGAGATATGTTCCCTCTGCGCCTCCACTTCTCTCTGAGCAGGGGGGCTAGATTGCAACTGAGGAGCCTCCTCTGCATCCCCAGTGCAGAAACTCAGAGAACTTTATGTTTTAGCATAAGAGATACAGTTTAGACAGGAAGAACTTTTGGCCACTAGAATTGGGAATTTCTTTGCCACGGAAAGTATCCTTACATGTACCTCTTTCTAGAAGAAAAAGCTTGAGATCTCCAGGGGACACAGAACGATGCTGTCTGGAGGCAGCGATAGATCCAGACCTTTTGCCGGAATCACTTGGGGATGCCAGGGGGACCCCACCCCAGGGGCGACCTATCCACTTGGCCTGGGGTCGGGGCTTGAGGCCTGCATTTGTAAAGTATGAGGGGTCAGGATAAATAAGGCAGCGTCTGGGGCATGCTTTGAGCTCTTTGAAGGAAGAACTTTCTAGATCAAAGGCCCGCCACAGGCTGTGCTCTGGGAGCAGCGCAGGTGCAATCCTCCGCAGTTCGGCAGCCCGGGAATGCCTCCCTGGCTGCCTGTTTGGCATCGCCGGTAGACCACACTCGGCCTTGACAAGCTTAGCGACACTCCCCACACCCTCCTTGGAATCAGTTCCTCGTCTGCACAGTCTTACCTTGTCCGGCAGAATCAGGCTTCAGGCAGTTTCTTGGGAGCTGCAGGGGCCGGGGGCGGGCGCTTACATTGCAGCCCGTACGCAGCCGCTATCCAGGCACTTCCTGTCTAGAGTGATTTTCCTGGGCTCTGGGAGGGTG